CACACTACTCACTCGCAGGAAATCAGTGGGTAAGGGGCTTGTGTACCAGTTATCAGTATATAATGTATGCCCCTTTCCAAGATAAGGTTCCATCATTGTTCTCACCACATAGCCAGAGATACCCAATAACTTCTTTTATCTTGTAGTGTTTTATTTCCCATGAACATAATTAGATCCAGTACAAGACCACTGTCACAATCACAAAACACAAACAACTTCATACCTAAGCATTTCTTCTTGCTCAGTATATATACTTCTTGAACGATGGTCTACCTTTGAGTAAAATCAGACTCATAAATAACAAGATTCGTCAATGGATAAAAATACATTCTGAACCTTTGTTTCAAATGCATAACACATTCCTAATTTTGTATAACCTGTCGTTTCTGTCAGGTTTTGTTTTGTCGGAGAAGTGTAGTACGTAACAGTAGGAAAATCTGTTGACTGGGATAAAATCACTGCAGGTTGGAGTGGAAATTAGAGAGTCTGGATCAGTATGATTATACTTATACACATGTGGCATAAGCATTATTGTGGCAAAAAGCAAATACATCTCAGCCACAGTTGTTGCCTTCCACCGGTGTAGTCGTGACTGTAGTGAAATCACTGTGTTAACCATGGTTTAATCAAAGTATCTGTTACTTTCCCTGACAATAATTTCCATCAGGGGCTGGTCAAAGAATAGTTCAAGAATTCCAGTTCACTTGCAATGTTCCCAAGGGTACAGTTTAGCAGAATTCCACTGTGATTGTCATTAAATTGATGGGGATTGAGCACAAAATTTGCAATTTGCTGCCAATCCCTGATGCTGTCTGTTGGTGGATATTGGATATTAGTAGCTGGTTGTGGTGTGTGGGTGGTTGAGGATGCTCTGGGCCATTGATGTGCTGAGTCAACAGTGTGGCCACCAGTGTGGCCTGTTGCTGGTGTCACATCCCGCATGGTACCACCACCAAATATTGATGCATGTGGTATATTATCCATCCCAATTGTAGCCACATCATCATCACTTTCACTGTTCCTAGTGTAGGCCATTGGATGTTCTCTGTCCACTTGGAATTGCATACAGCACACGAGACAGCATGCTGTATTATATAAACTGATACTTCACTGGCGAATATTTTTCCTTGCTGTCACTACTTGAATAGTCATCTAGAGCAAGAAAATCAAAATCCATGTCACTGTTCAAAACCATAGAATTCCTTTTCACTTCCATCTGTGTTTGAACTGTCACATGGGAAGAGGAGATTCCCAATTCACTGGGGAGTGAGATCTTTCCTACTGTGAGGCATGGTGAGTCAAGTACTTTGTACTGAGATGGTGTTGCCACAATGCAGTGCACGCGCTCTGATTTTTTGTATGCTATGCACACTGACATTGCAGACCCATTCTCTCATATGTAGGCCTAACGCGGTTCTCGCTAGATTTTAAGCCACTAGAATTTTGGCATAGTACTGTGGCACAATCACTGGCTTCAAAGCTGTAGAACTATGGCACAGGCCATGAAGTTGTTAAATGGCGGAGTGCAAGAAATTTGTGTGTTCTATGATTTTGTGTGTATCTGTACTGTATATATGTTGTGCCTAGTTGGTTAGTGAAACATTGTCTTGCTCAGCTTAAGGTTAACTTTTTCTCTGTATCTTCTTCCATTCCTACTTGTGTACTGCAAGAGGTCTCGTCTTCACATGGGAAAGAAAGTTGCAGTTTTGTGAGAGGTTGACGTGATGTGAAGCTGCCTCTGATAGTAAGGCAGGCAGGCGAGGCAGTAAAGTAGGTGTTAGTGATGTTTACTGATGCTCTATTTTCCTCACGGATCACGTGTGCTAGGTTGACTTCCTCTTTCTAATTGATGTGTGTGTTTTTATGAGTCAGAAGTTTCTAGACATTTCTTAACAGTTTCAGGATGTCAAGTGTCACTGATGAGTACCTCTCCAGAGACTTGTCATTTGTAGGTGATCACAGGTGTCAGCAGTGTGAAGCAATGCTCCTCCCTCAACTTCCTCATCACTTGCTTCCTATAGTCTACCTAAGTTTTTATTTTTTCCGCTCCATATATTAATCATCCATTCGTCACCTCGCCCTCCTGGTACCTGATGGATGTTTTCAAGGGTCAGTGCCCCTGAGGGCCCAGTCCCAGACCAGGCTTCCTGCTGGATGAAGGCCTGATCAGCCAGACTTTATCTTTCATTTTTCAATCCCCCTATTTATCTTCCATTCCTCCCATCACCTTCATTATCTTCCATTCCTCCCATCACATTTCTTATCTTCCATTCCTCCCATCACGTTTCTTGTCTTTGTTTTCTTCCCTTCACCTCATTTATAGTGGCAGTGTACTTTGCACTATAATTAATATCTGGTGAGACTTACTTTCTGTGAAGATCGCAGATCAAGTATTATAAACGGTAATCAGTACATGCGTATTTACATAATTCCTTATAAAAAGTAATACCATATGTAGTTTCACAACTTGCTTAATCCTTTTGTTGGATTCTTTCCAAGAAACTTGATGGTATTGTATGTGTGTAATTCTACACAACACTTCATGACCCGAAGTTTGTCTTAAGTGGTTAATGTCTATTTTATAGATGACATGATCCGTAGAGTTTGATGGTTTTGTTAAGGTTCAGTGAGTTGACATTTGGGATAAGAGGGGACAATATCTGAAGCCGGTGCTTGTATTGCAGGTAGGTCGGGTGTCCCCAGGCAGGACAAGTGGCCTTGCTTGTGAAATCTGTGGTAAAGTATTCAGCGGCAAGAACCAGCGCCAGCTGCTGCGCCGACACTCACTCATCCATACTGGCGTGAAACCTCATGCCTGCCGTAATTGCCCATATCGTACCAACCAGAAATGCAACCTCAACATGCACATAGCCACTGTGCATCGTGCAGCTCCTTTCCTGCATCCATTCCTAACCCCTGCATTTTCTCTACCCCAGCCGTCAAGCTCACACAGTACTCCTATTACTTCATCAGAGAATTCTGCTCCAACAGCAGTGACTACTCTAAACTTTAGAAATAGTGGAAATGATCATCAGTAATGTGGGAATAGACTTTTTGCCACAATTTTTTTGCAACTCTTTAGGTTTCTGCCTAAGAATTTGATATTAGGTAAAATGGCAAGTCTTTTATCTAGTGGATTGATGGGCTTGTGAAAAAATGTTTGGCTGTTCAGTATTGTACGTTGATAATTACTTTGTTGTAGTGTTGTTCTACAGGTTATTAATGAGGATATAATAATTTAAGGTGCAAATCCAGGCACTAAGTGGGGCTGTTGTGTGTTGCAGGGTGTGAGGGTAGACGTGGTTGCCCCGGGCGGGTGTGATGGGCTAGAGGGGCGCGGGCTCATCTGCCATGTGTGTGGCAAGGCATTCTACAGCCGCAATCGTCGACAAGATCTACAACGACATCTTCTCTCTCATACTGGGGAAAGGCCTTTTCCATGCCCTTTCTGTCCCTACCGAGCCTCTTTGAAGGGAAACCTGAAAAAACATATACATGGTCTTCATGCCCACTTTCTTAAAGCTTTGGATAAAAATATAGCTTTGTCAAATGCCTCTGTTATTATGTCTCCACCTCCCTCACTGAGTTTGGCTCCTGATAATACAAGTCAGTCCAATTGAAAAAGTCCTGTATTTACAGGCATCCAGCTATTTTACTTAAAGCTCTTGCTTTGCCTTACTAAACCTGCTAAGATATTATGAAGACCAAGGGAGTATAACATTAGCAGTGGAAGATGCATTCATCGTTAAGAATACGGAGGCTGACGTGCGGTGTTATTGTTTCAGGGGCGGGTGGCGGCCTGGCAGTCCGCGTTGGTGACGCACCGCCCCCATCTGCCAACCCCCACTTCTCCATCTGTTGCTGTTGAGTGCATAACATGTGGCAAGACCTTCTACGGCTTCAACCGCAAGTTCCTGTTAAAGCGACACATGATAACTCATACTGGTGAAAAGCCATTCCAGTGTCCACATTGCCCTCACAGAGCAAACCTCAAACAGAATTTGGAAGTGCATATCAAAAGGAAGCACAGAGACCTGCTGTCCTCAGGGTTCATGCCTTCTACTCAAGCAGAAACTCATTGAAGTTGAAATAATATTTTTATATTCTACACTGAATTTCTTTTTCTTTATGCAGTTAATTTTTAGTGGTAAGAAGTGGATGTGGGGGTGTGCTGATATCGTGAAGCTGGAAGGTTAAGTGTGCCCTGTATTGCAGGCGGGCGGAGGAACGACGCAGGAGCAAGTTGGAGCTGTCCTAGAGCCTGGCACCTGCCATCTGTGTGGCAAGCACTTCCCCCCTACTGTATCCTCATGGCGGCAGAAATTAGAGCGCCATTTCCTGACACACACAGGAGTTAAGCCTTATCATTGTCCATATTGCCCACACCGTAGTGGCAGGAAGGATTCTATCAGGAGACATAGTAGGATTATGCATCCTGATAAGCCCCCCCTCTCTGCCTCCGATGTCTTGGCATATGATCAGACTGGCATACGAATTTGAAGAACACATTTACCAAGGTATTCAACATTGGAGAATAGGAAAGTTTTTTAACCCCTTTTCATCCAGTGTCTTGAACATTTCCAAAAGTGTATGAAAAGGCAATTGCATGACTGCAAGGGAGAGGGTGGAGCACTGAGTAGTGGTTTGTGTTGCAGGATACTGGGGGCAACTTGGATGTGGGAACACTGCTCACCTGTCTGGATTCGGAGCGGAGATGCCGAGTGTGCGGTAAACAGTTCCAGCCTAGTCCCTCGTGGAAGCAAAAACTGACACGCCACCTCATGACTCACTCGGGAGAGAAGCCATTCTACTGTCCCCACTGCCCACATCGATGTGCCAGAAAGGACTCTTTGAAACTGCACATTGCACGCATGCATGGCCCACTCCCACCAATCTAGGCTCGGCATTATCTCTTATGTCAATGATAAGTAACTAAAGAAGACACTTTTATGCAAGCTTTGAGCTAGAGGGAGACTTAGTGGTATGCGTTTATATTGCAGGTTGACATAGCCAGACAAGATTCGGCGTACACAGCTCCTCTGGCAGTGGATAGACGTCGTCAGGAAGCGGGAGGTCATGCTCCAGATGGAGGCAGTGCAGGTGGCCTTGGTATAGGTGTTGCAGGAGAAAAAAATTCCTTGTCTTTATCAAGGTTCTGTACTATATGTGGGCATTCATTTAGTGGCATAACATGGAAACAAAAACTTGAGAGACACTTGCTGGTTCATACAGGGCAGAAACCCTTTCATTGCCCCTACTGCCCCCACCGCACTAACCGCAAGGATGCTCTCAAGGCTCATGTTGCAGCCTTACACAAGGTTCATCTGATTGCTTAGTTGTGATGCTTATGTGAAAATGTCCATAAACATTAGTGAATGGTGTACTGTATTGATGATAACCTTACGAACTGTTAGTTCGTATTCCTTTGATGAAAAAAAAAGTTATTGGGATGTTCTTTCTGTGATGAATAATTTCATGTTGAAAAAGCGTGGAAAATTTAACAGGTATACATCAGTTTAAACTACAGAAAATGCCAGTCAAAAGGGTGGTTTGCAAGCTGGAATTCAGTGTAAATAACTTCTGTAAAATATTGTTCCCAAAGAGGTGATGTTAGATAATACCATATTTTTCATAGGTACTTCTTGAAATTCTTGCTAACATACCATGTTTTATGCATGATTTTTTTCTGCAGTCTGGAACTGTTTATCAGTGCTGATTTATATTAAATATTTTTATTGTGAAGTTTGTACAACTTAGTCCTTATTCAGTGTTGAAAAGTATTTTTGATAGTTAATTTTTTAGTGATTTTTGTTTATGTATGACAAGTCCATTTTGATTAATTTTACGTACATTATAAAAAAAATTGGACGGATTCTTACCTACTTATTTCATAGAAGTTCCTATCTGGGTAACTTTTGTGTTTTAGTAAAACTTCACCAATACTTTTTCTAAAGTATCATACTGGTAAATATATTTCACATGAAAGTGTAACTACAGATTTATTCAGGTAATGAGGCTGGTATGAAAAGTCAAAATTTATGAAGAGTTTAAATATACTATACAGTATACGTACTATATTAGGCAAAAAGATGGGGGAATAATTATAAATTATTACTGGTATTTGGAGGTTAGACATGTTAATTATTGATATGGCAATAAACATCACTGGTAGTGAAGTCGAGACACATCATTGATAGATATGGCTTCCAAATGAAAATTCACTTAATTCACAAAGATGATTACTGCCATACATACACAAGTGCAGTCATCTAGCAGAATGACATCATGTGAAGCCAAATATATTTCAAGAAAGTAAACCTGGTACAAAAATGGAAATATAACAGTATGATTATCTGGAGTTTGGCAGATGACTGGTGCTCCCACTTGAGGCAGTAATATATTATAATAATGTTTTTTTTCATTAATTACTGTATTACAACTAATAATAATTACTGAAAAACTAGTGTGCTGCCCTTTGATGTTGGCTTGTTGAGAGTTGGGTGATGAAGGGACCTGGAAGCTGCTTGCCTCTGGTGTTGTGCTCCTCATGGATGATGGTTTCTTAAGACTGATATAGTCAGAAGATCTACCATTCAAGGATCTCAACAATGTTGTTATCACAACTTCAAGGAAAATGATAGACATAGTAACTAGAAGTTTCAAAATGAGAAGTAAAGACAGTATTATTGGTATTCTTAGTCAGGGAGGCAGACTTGCAGAGCTGAAGAATGTACTGAGAATCTCCACTGCCTGTATAAATGCAGTCATTTACCTAAATTACTTGGAAGTCCTGAAGTTCCTTGAAGTACAGCCTCTCCTAACTTAGTGACATACTCATTTACCGACGACTTGGACTTACGACAGGCTCTCTGACCCGCATGCGTACCTAAATAATGTATATTAGAGCTGATCAACTCTTTTCTGTTTATTACAATATACAGTACACTACTGTATAAACTTTTAAAAATATACCAGAAATGTTATAAATGGTGCAAAGGTAGCATTAAAACAATATCAAAGATGGTTGACAAACTCACTACCATTATAGTATTCTCCTCATTTAGTGATGAATTCGTTTACTGATGTGGTCTCAGGAAGGGAACTCTATCATTAAGTGAGGAGATGCTGTAATGTATATTCCTTGAAATGTAAGCAAGAACAATATGTCGTAACAGACACCTGGGAAATTTTTGAGGGATTGGTCCCAGATCTGCACACTAAAAGCACCCCCATAAAGCAAGAGGCTTGGCAAACTGCACAACACTCATTTGAAAAGCAGGGTTGCCAGTGACTACACTTGACACCTCAGTAAATCTAAGGAGACAAATTCTTCATTCATAAGGGTGACTGCTAACAGATCCATAGCTGTCTTCAAAAGGGACTTTGATAAGTTACCCAAGTCAACTACAGTTTGTATACTACACAAATTAATAGATATTTTGATTTTGAAGTAATTTCCTGATCAGCTGGGCTATGGTGCATGTGTTGGGCTCATACAGCTAGCACCAATAGTCTGATTGATCAAGCCATCCTCCAGGGAAGGCATTAATCCCAGAAGTCATCTCCAGGGAAACTCCAGGTAAACTTCAATCATGATCGTTTACCATTGCAACCAGAGTATCAAAGTTTTAAGAAGAAATCTACTCTGTTTATTCATATGTTTTGCTGGCAGTAGTTGCACACATTCTGTCCCAATTTCTAGCTTGTTAAACGATTGTTGCCGTTACACAAACCAGGAGATGCAGTACTTAAGTTTTGTGGTTCATGTAATTGGTGGGTAGGGACTCTACTGTATATGCAGTCAGTCTCTGTTTAAATCTTCATGTATTGTGAAATAAATTTTTTCTGCTTTCCCTTGAAGAGTATGATGATATGCTGTATTACCACTGCCTAGCCAGGGTACTCCTAACTACTATTTTATACAACATATAGTAGAGTATGTAGAAAGAATTGCCTTAGATCTAGCCTTAGATCTAGAACCACTCTACATGTGATGATCTAGAATTACTTAACGTGTGCTAAATGTAATAAAGAGAATGGCTGTGTAAATGCGCCCAGTTGTTACAGTGATTATGGGAGATTGAAGTTTTGTAATTTTTTTAAAAAAGTATGTAGAATGGCATTTTTGTTTTGACACACGAATCAGGAGACAAAGGAAGAGAAACCATATGAGAAATATGCCCTTCCACCTTCCTACAAATAAAATTGTTACTCCAAGATTATTTTTTTCCAACCCTTGTATGGTGTGTGTTAATTTACAAATTTGTCTGTATTTTGACTTTTCACATGCATCCAAGCCCTCGTTGTAAATTATGTTAAGGGAGCAGTGTTGTACAAATGAGTATACAGTAGGAATTTTTTGATTCACAGTATTAGATTACCATAGTTTTGTAATTTTTCTGGCCATATATAATACAATACTATATGACCCATTGGGAATATAAATATTGTATGTATAAAATATTAACTATGGCTTCAGACAACTTGAAAGGTGTCCGCAATACAACCAAGCGTGGCTGCTTGTGATAATTAAGGTGTTGCTGTTGTCTATACTAGCAGGCCTTCTGTTTGTGGTAATAGTGTGTGTTGTTTTCTACAGCAGGGGCTGCTGCTTGTTTTTAACAGGGCCTGCTGTTATCTACAGCAGGGGCTGTTGCTTGTCATAACCAGCTCTAATCTAGAGCACAGACTGTTACTTGTGATAAGTAGGTGATAACAGTGCCAGCTGTTTTCTACAGCAGAGTCTTACTTGTGATAACAGAGCTCTAGCTGTTGTTTCAAGCAAGTGCTCTGACAAGTGGGTCAATATTCTCTAAAAATTGTTTTCCCTTAGTTTCATTGAACTGCTTGACAAGCAATTCTTTGATGCAAATGCCTGGTGATTTTCCAACAATTTCCTCAATTTTGCATTTGTTTATTGACCCTTAAAGCAGAACTTGATCATTATATTAATTGTTCTTCAATTTCAGTGATCAAGTGTGTGTCCATCTCTTCATACTTGTGCTTATTTACTCTCTCCTAACTTTCATTGTCTTGACCCATCTTGTGTTAATTGAGTGAAGAGTTCCACAAGCTGCCATTTGAACTAGAAATCATTCCTGCATATCAGCAACACCAGTTTTTACTTAAAGCATTTTTTCATTGCTGGAAAAGTCTCAGAATGTGTCAGAGGTATTTCAGAGTAACATAAGTTTTTACTCATCAGGGTTACAGATAACTACTTTTTGTGAAAAAGTAGCATAAAGTAAAGGGGCATGTTGTGTATACATGAACTGGGAACTGAGAAGTGCTTGAGAGAGTGAGTCAGAGGAGGGGGGGGGGGTTGCTGAGCATTCAAATGATACAGTTTAATAATACAGTACTAGGATGAGAAATTATTAATGATGAAGCAATTTTTGTGAATTGTAGATGTATGGAATTAACCTGTGTGTACACTAGTTATATTTTGCTGAGTTGACATAAAAACCATATGTAAAGTTTTCATTGAAAAGAATTGCTTAAGTTAATCATTACTGAAAATATTTTTGTTTAGAATGGTAGCATCATGTAAATGTAATTAACTTCAAAGACAGATGACCAAATTATGTCTTGTTTCAATGGTATGAGATGTCTGTATTAACCAAGATCAAAGTGTAGCTTTATAAAGATTGAGTGTTCATTGTTGTCAAGGTTTACACTGGAGTGATAATGATTTATGGAAATCATCTGGGATATTGTTAGTAATTTAAAAGATGGAAATAGCTGCTAAGAAAATCAGAGCCTAGGAAGGGTGAACAGATGTTAGCTGGAACATTCAGTTTGAAGAGGTATTTGCTGTACGTAGTGACCATAATGATGTGAAATACTCGCTGGAGGAAAACATGGTGTAGCGAATGTTAGTTGTGAGTATTTTAACCCCACTGCCACTTCATAATGCAACAAGTGATATACAGTAATTATATTCAACAGTGGCCCTTTTTTTTCTTTTATAGAAGATGGCAGTTTTAATTTTCGAACTTGTTTATTATAAAACTGATGGTGAAGCATTTTTGTCCGAGTGCAAGAAGGCAGTGGTATTCTGCTAATAAATCAGATATACAATCAAAGTGAAACAGTTAATACTGTACACCATGTGTAAGTCATTAAATGTCAACATTGATTTTGGACTTTTATTTTCCCTTTTATCAGTCTGCACATCATGCAATATTATTTTATTTTTCCAGTTATAGTAGCTCAAAGAATCATTCATTCTCCTTCTGCTGCTGGTTCTGCTTCTTCACCTGATAACTCCATAAACACATGGAGGTTAACATGTAACAGTATTAACATGACTAAATAACTAATACTTACTTCAGGATAACCAGGGTATACAGTGTTCAGGATGTCCAGGGTATACAGTGTTCAGGATGTCCAGGGTATAAAGTGTTCAGGATGACCAGGGTATAAAGTGTTGAGGATGACCTGGGTATAAAGTGTTGAGGATGACCAGGGTATAAAGTGTTCAGGATGACCAGGGTATAAAGTGTTCAGGATGACCAGGGTATAAAGTGTTGAGGATGACCAGGGTATAAAGTGTTGAGGATGACCAGGGTATAAAGTGTTCAGGATGACCAGGGTATAAAGTGTTGAGGATGACCTGGGTATAAAGTAGTGTTTCTGAATTTGTTTTTATCTTTGCATAACCCTTGAAATAACTTTCATGTCTTAGGGAACCCCTACATAAAAATTATTATACAGTGGTACCTTGGTATTCAAACATAATTCATTCCAGAAGGCTGTTTGAGCACCAAACAAATTTTTCCCATAAGAAATAATGTAAAATAGATCAATCCATTTCAAACCCCCCAAAAATACACTTACAAAAGCATTTTAACACGACGTTTACAAGCTTAGCATGCATAAATCTAAAAAGAAAGAAAAAATACACAGGAAATAGATGAAATAAATGCAAATTTAGTCTCTCATTACCTGTAGCTGGAGAGTTGATAGCTTATGTGGAAGATGGTGAGGAAGGGAGATGTTATTGTTTGTCACCTTCCATGAAAATGGCAGGTAACTGTGCTTCTGGGATTCTTTCTCTTTTCTGTCTATATGTGCTTTCTTCCAGAGACTCCCTGGGTCTCTGTCTCACTGGAAACCTGCCTGCATTTTAAAATTCTCCTGAAGTGAGACATAGCATTGCCATTAAGCAGGTTTATAACATGATTTGCTACAACTTTGGGTGATATTTTCAAGAGAACTTCGCACTTTCCCCCATTTTGCACACATTTCTTTTATAAGAGCAGTAGGGACATCCTCCCTTCCCTCCACTTCCTCTGAAGAAATTTTCTCAGCTGCTGTATGTTGCTGCTCCCTCTGAAGGTCCTACAGTTTTTTTGTAGTAAACTCTGCTTTATGCTCCACATATTACTGATCTCCAAACCCGTGGAATTGGCGAGACACACAATATCCTCCACAACAGTCTCAAAGCCTTCAAAGTCCCTTTCTGCCACAGCAGCTGGCCATAATTTCCACCAGGCAGAGCTCATGCTCCTATAAGAGACTTCCCCAGGCTTTATTTATGAGGCTTAAACAGAGGAGGATGTTAAAATGGTTCTTCCAGAATTCTTGGAGGGCCGACTTAGTATCAGATGTCACTTTGGAGCACCTCTGGAATAGTGATTTTGTGTAGAGTTTCTTGAAATTAGAGATCACCTGCTGGTCCATGGGCTAGATGACTGGAGTCGTGTAAGGGGGCAAGAGCTTCACTATTATGAAGTTAAACTCGTTGCCTCCACCCCTGGAGGATGAGCAGGAGCATTGTCCATCACAAGAAGGCTTTTCAGAGGCATCTATTTCTCTTGAAGATAATTCTTAATTGTAGAGCCAAACACTTCATTAACCCAGGCTTTACTGCTAGCCCTTCACGTCACATTTAATTTACTTTTCATAACGTTATTTTTCTTAACACTCTCAGTTTCGGTCCCATAGTACTACGGCTTGAGAACCAGTGTCAGTCTCGTAGTACTATGCCAAAATTATTGTGCCTTCAAATCTGGTGGAAGAAAGCTGTAGGCCTGCATATGAAAGAGAGAGTCTGCGTGGTATATGAAAGAGAGAGTCTGCGTGGTCTGTGTGCGCAGTATAAAAAAAAATCCTGCAGCACACAGTGCATGAGAAAAAAGAAAACTCCAACCGTATTTTTGGTTTAAAACAAGTGACCTTGAGGTGTATTTTCGTATTATATTTATGGTTGTATTTTCGTATTATATTTATGGTTGTATTCTCGTTTTCTTCATTATGGTTGTATTCTCGTTTTCTTCATTATGGTTGTATTCTCGTTTTCTTCATCACATTTGATAGAATGGAAAATACATTACAGAAATGGAGATGATTTTGATTGGTTTCACAATGAAAAGTACCTTGAAATTGAGCTCAAAGTAACGGGAATGTTCGATTTTTGGCGATGTTCAAGAATAAACAAATGACATCACTGTCCAATGTGTGTCCAACCGGCTAGTCTAATACGCAGTCAAGAATGGGTTGACATTATTTATACAATTATTATAATACTGCAGTAGTCTGCATAACTGTAAATCTTCTATTATTTTGTGAGAAAAAAAATTCAAAATGGAAAACAAGAGTAATATAAGAGGGGCTTGGAGACGTGACTAATGAACAGAGAAAACGTTATTTTGTGCCAGGAATGTCTGCCATGTTTATTCTGGACCCTGTTTTGAAATTTATATCTTGTGAAATTTGCCAAATTGCCAAATTCTAACCACTTTATTGGGTAGTTGAAATTGGTAAATGGGCAGTTTCTTGTACTCAATCGATAGAACAAATGGAGTTCTAGCGAAATAGCTATGATTTTAGTCAACTGGAACAATGGAAATAGCTGAAAATAGGGCTCAAAGTGGGCAAAATCACCGATGCGTAAATAACGCCGGGAGCGCGAAATTTGTGAGAGTATAATTTCGTAAGTTTTTCATCAAATTTCATATTTTTGGTGTCATTAGCATCGGGAAAAGATTCTCTATCATTTCATGGGAATTTTTTTTTTTTTTAATTTTTAACACACAGTGAGTGAGTAAAGGATCATGGGTCTCGGCACTGAAAAGGTTAAAAACCACTGGGTTCTCAGAGTGATAGACAAGCAAACGCTTCACTTTTAACCCTTTGAGGGTCGACAGGCCCTCTCCGAAACTCATTCTCAGGGTCGGCCAAATTTAAAAAAAAAAAAAAATTCTCTTATGAAAAGATAGAGAATCTTTTCCCGATCATAAAGACACCAAAAGTTTGAAATTTGATAGAAAACTTACGGAATTATGCTCTCGCAAAGTTAGCGGTCTCGGCGAAGTTTACGCATCGGCGATTTTGCCCACTTTGAGTCCCATTTTCGGCCAATTTCACTGTACTAGTCGACAAAAAACATGAATATTTCGCTAGAACTCCATTTTTTCTATCGAATGGGTGCAAGAAACCACCCATTTATGAAATTCAACTATCCAGTACAGTGGTCAGAATTTAGCAATTTTGCCAATTTCACACAAATTTCAAAAGATGCCAATTTCCGAATAGGGTCCAGAATAAACAAGAAAGACATTCCTGGCACTAAAATGACATTTCCTCTAGTCATTAGTCACGTCTCAAGGCCCCTCTTATATTCTTTTGCTTTCCACTTTGAATTTTTATTCTCACAAAAAAATATAAGATTTACTGTTACGCAGACTACTGCATTAGTGTAAAAAATGGTATAAATATTATTGGTGCACTTGTGAAAGAATATTAGACTCACCAGTTGACGTGCATTGCACGATTTGTTTACTTTTGAAGTTTGGTAAAAATCGAACATTTCTGCTACTTTGAGCTCAATTTCAAGGCACCTTTCATTGTAAAACCAGTCAATATCATCTCAATTTCTGTAATATGTCTTCCATTCTATAAAATGAGACCAAGAAAACTAGAATACAACAATAAATACCATACGAAAATACACTGCAAAGTCGCTGATTTATTCCAAAAAAATGGTCAAAGTTTTTTTTTTCTCATTATGCACTGTGTGCTGCAGGATTTTTTTTAGACTGTGCACACTGACCACATAGACCCATTCTTTCATATGAAGGCCTACCAGCTTTCTCCCACTAGATTTGAGGCCGCTAGAATTTATGCGTACTAGTACGTCAAAAACCCCTACTCGTAAGACGTACTAGTACGACCAAAACCCTCAAAGGGTTAAATAACCACTTGCATTCCTGCACAACAGTGAGGTTGCCCTTCATTGTCGTGTGTCCTGGCAATGATTTCTGCTCTTTGAGTGATATAGGTTCAGTTTGGCGTTTTTTTTCCAAAATACCAGGCCTGAGCCTCTACATAGTCACTAAACTCACTGACGTATTTCTCGGCAGCATCTTTGTCAGAACAAGTAGCCTCCCCATGCCTCACTACACAGTGTATGCCACTTCTGTTTTTAACCGTTTCAGGGTCCAGACTTCAGATCTGAAACTTGTTCACAGGGTCCAAGAATTTTTGAAAAAAAAAAAAAATCTTATGAAGTGGTAGATAATAATTTTCTGAAGGTAATAAAAAGAAGTACGGAAATGGATGAAAATTTGACAAAATTACACTCGCGAATTTTTCTGCATCAGCGATACTTACGCATTGGCAATTTTGTCGATTTTGACTCATTTTAGGCCACTTACATTATTCCAGTCGGCCATATTCTTGGCTATTTTTCTAGTAATGCTTCCATTTTATCAATTGAGCACAAGAAATTGTCCAGTCAACTGTTTCAACTATCCAATAAAGAGATCGGAAATTGGTTATTTGGTCAATTTTCACACAAAGTTCAAAATATTTCAGTTTCAAAGTAGGATCCGGAATAAACAATGCAGGCATTCCTGGCACTAAAATAACATTTCCTCTGTTTATTAGTTATGTTTCCAGGCTTTACAAATAAATTCCATTTTCATTTTGTATTCACATAATGAATTTTTATTCACACCAAAAAATATAAGATTTACTGTTATGCAATATTGTAATAATTATATAAATAATATCAGCATATTCGTGAACTCAGATTAGACCCACCAGCTGACGTGTATTGGATGCGAGAAGGCATTTGTTTACTCGTGAACATCGACAAAAATCAGACATTTCTGCTAATTTGAGCTCAGTTTCA